TTACTTTTAACAGGTTTCCTATATGGAGAATTTAATATGGAGAATTTAAAGCTCCTATATTCCTTTTCCTCATATTCACAATAGTTTTGGTCTTGACTAAATTAATCAAGAGCTGTTAAGTTATGACATATTATGTCGCAGCAGGGTTTTTTATGTTAAAATAGCTTTATTATGATGTCAATTGCATAACGTGTTCAGTTTGTGCCTGCAATAAAAGGGCAGCAGAAAAAGGAGGAAGCAGAATGCAATAATTCGTATAAATAGCTTCTAGAATAACTTGAAATTCTGGTGCTATTTTAACAATAATTTTCTGCTTTGAACAGTACAAATGTTGATGTATCATGCTTAAGAATGAGCAATTCGTTGCGTAAACCACAGCAATTGAAAAGAAATATTGCTTGAAAACATCCTGCTAAAGTAAGAAATTACTGCGTAAAACAAAGAAAAGTCAACAAGCAGTAGTTTCGTAAGAAATACTGTTTTTTCTTTGAGTGGACATTATTTGTTTTTCTCTTCAGAGAGCTGCTGTGGTGTGACAAATACTAATTAGCTTTACCATGAATGAAATTGCTAGTTTTAGTAAGTCAGAAAAATGAGTTTAAAGAAAAATGCTTCATTTAGAAAATTTAAGTGGATTCTAATTAGTTAGTAAGACTAAACCTTGAGCAATTATTCCTTACTAGAAGATTTTAAGGAAACTTTAAAATGCACAGTGGTTTACTGATTACGCATTTCTGGATCATTCATTATTTTCTTATATCGATCTCGCAGGAATACTGAGAAACAAAATTAATATTTCTACAGGAGAAGAGGAGGATTTCCGAGATATTTCAATGGAATTATGATGCACATTCTTCATCCAAATATTATTATTAGTCAAACGGGCTATTAATTTTGTTTTCGCATTTTGCATTGCCCGCTATAAAACGACGTTTCACTTTTCAAATTGTTGCCACCAAATAATGCTCTTTTTAAAATTATTTTGTGACATTGCTGTTGAATTGAATTTTATGGTGTAAATGAAAAGAACATTATATTTAATAAATAAAGGTAACACAGAAAACGTTAAAAAAGACCCCTTTAGGCGTAATATGCCTAAAGGGGCTTCAGATCTGAATGCTTTCAGATTTTTGTTTTAAATTTAATTTATGTGTTAAAGCAAGCTGATGAATTAAGTTTCAGAAGAGTATTTGAAAGATAGACTTTAGTTTTTTTGTGCATTAAAAATCATGTAAATATTTATTTATTTCAAGCACAACATATGCCGAAGTTATGGAGAATTTAAAGTTACTTGCTCTTCAAAGCTAATTTATTATTAATATCAGAAATACAGTTAAAATGAACAATATAATATTTCAGTATGGAGTAATTTAATTTGACAGAATATTTCAATACACCAGTTTCAGTGCTTTAAAAATTTCAACGAATTTTTATAAAGTGTTTTGGATTAGTTATATAGATGATATTACTTTTGAGTTGGGTAGATTATATAGATGACATTTCCTGTGTTTTTCATTACTTATGATTTGAATAGATTTTATAGATGAAATGACTTTGAGTAGGTTATATAGATGAGATTATTTTGTTATATTTATGTCTTGACAAGACAGAAATCATTTTCACTTAAAAGAAATATTTGTTGCAGGCCTTTTGAGAAAGTATTGTAGTAAAATGAATAAATGTACATCTACTCAAGTAGCGAAGTAGTTTTGTCATTCAAAATGGGTGCACGTGGTATTTAATTTACAGTGAAGTAATATTCATTCATTCTCAGAAATAAAATTCGTCATATTCAACAGTGAAGTAACAATCATTCAAATTTACCATTTTTATTGTGAATAGTTGACTTTAAATGTACGAAATTAACTATTTTGACTCTGAAAAGTTGATTTTAAAAATAAGTTCATTTTTTGTAAAAATGTTCTGTAATTTTTATTTCTAGAATTAAAGTTCTTAAGCTAGTAGGTTAGCTTATAAACTGAAAGCTATATATAAGGATCAATTTACTATTTTTTTGACTCTGTAAACACAATACGATTCTTTAAGAGCCTGTGGTCACGTAGTTTAAAAGCTTTTGTATTATTAATAATTATTTTACTGTTCACGTTTTTATATTTTCAGGTTCCTAAATTAGTTTCTAATTTAGTTTTCTAAATTAGTTCAGAGAATTGTTTGTGCGTCAGTATTTTTTCTAGGTTTATTTCAGTATTTTAGTTTTCCTCGAACTCCATAATGTTGGTTTGAGTGCCTTCAAAAAGAAAAGGGAAAATGCAAAAAGAATGCGTTTCAACATTATGATTAACTAAACCACGCAATTAAAAAAAGAGCTATCCTGGATGGATAATTTTGAGAGAAACGGGAAATCAGAAGCTTTCCGCAGCATGGGATGGCACTGTGTAGGAAGAAAAGTAGCATAAAATGCCTGTCACGTTATCTCTGTTTGACAGTGGTTGGATTAATAAACACGCAATAAACCCATTACTTGTTTTAGCAAAATGTTGTTCAACGATGACATTACGACTGACAATCAACCACAGCTTATTACTTTATAAGGTATATTCTCCCTCCTTTCCGCATGCCTTCTCTGTGTAACTGGAAGCGTATTCGACTCGTATTAGGAGTTCCGGATTTTGAACCGTGGCTAGGTCATTGCATATTTTTCATCTCTCCTGCTTTAAAAAAAATAATGACTATACAATGGCATCCGAACTAAAAGGTGGTGGATGATAATTCATCGCAACCAGGATTTGATGACTCGGTCCCCTTATCCCCAGACTTCCTTTAAAAGGAGGAGTGTATAAGTTACTTTCTCACTCCTTTAAGAAGTGTTGCTTTAAGTGTAACTAGACACAACCTCGACACGTATCCGGGAGATCAGGATTTCGATTCCCGGTTACGTGCAAATTTTTCACCTCTGCTGCTTGAAAACATTTTAATGACTCCACAACTTTGTCCAAGATTATAACTATTTGTTTCAAGAGTTACGCACGCATATGCACACTGTATCGTTTCTTTCATAGACATGTTGTTAATTATATATTTAACTTAGATTTTATTTGATCCAAAGATATCTTCTTTTATCTGGCATTGGACTAAAATATTTCGATGTCAACTTCTGGTAAAATTTAGTGGTCTTAATTTACAGTACGTTTTGAAGAAAGAAGTGTAAAATTGGTATTCTTAGTATTGTATTTCAGTATTGTATTTCAGTGTATCTCTGAATATAATAGCATTTTTTATTAAACTAAACTAAAATGCTTTGCGAAAGCATCAAAGATTCTGTAAATATTTAAAAACGTCTTCGTGGCAAATACACGATGCTTAATTGAGTTACGAAAATGTAGTATATTTTGTTTCCTCCAACTAACATTACAAGAATAGAGAAGTAGAATGATTAATGCATCTACGGTTTCCTCCAGGTATGCTACTTTCCAAAGGTGTAGCTGGAAAAAAAAAGAGAGAGAGAGAAACAGAATAAAACATATTTTACAGAGGTTGTTCACACATTTTTTAGACGATTTTGGTAAGCGATAATAAAAATTCGTTTGCTGCAAAAGAAGTAATTGCAATTGTACTATGTTTCTAAAAGTCAAAATTATCGTCTGTGGCTTGAAAGTTTTGTTTTTATTCAAAATGGCGAACTTAACAAAGCAGTGGTTCGAAGGTTACATTTACGCTCTTTCCAAAGAGAAATATGCATACTCCGTTATCCAAAAACGATGTGAGAGTCATGGTTTTGTGATATCTAAAGCGTCGATAGGTAATATCGTCAACAAGAAAGAAAAAAAAAAGTCAAATTGGAGCCTCAAGTTCGACAAAAATTCCAAACAAGTATCCAAAGAAAAAACGGACATCTTCGACTATTGCAAAGGTACGTTGTTTAATGTTAAAAGAAAATCCTCCTAGTTAAAGGACAGTTGCAAAATCATTAAAATGCTCGGTGTAAAATGATAAACGTTGATTTAAATCTTAAGAAAGCTAAAAAACTCAATGTGCATCGTCTTCTTCCAAAGCATATCGCTCAACGCAGGACACGCTGCAGAATTCTATATGAGAAACACTTATTCAAAGAAAAATGGAAAACAGTTGTCACAATAGATGAAGCATGGGTGTATTTAAATGATTGCAACAAAAATTATTATCATAAAAGGGAAGAAAAAAATTTAAGTGCAGGGTTCAAAGAATCGAAAGAAAGTTTTTCTAAGAGATTCATGATTGTTGCTGGTTTTTCTTATAATGGCAAGTTAAAAATAAAGAGAGCGCAAACAAATGTCAAGATTATCTCAAAATACTATCAGGAACATATTTTATCGCCTATTTTTCTGAATGAAATACCATCGCTTTACCCACAGTGCCGTCAATCTGTGAGACTCCATCAAGACAAAGCTAGCAGTCACACATCAAAATCCACTGTAAATTTCCTAAAAGAAATGGAACAAAAATCTGGCATCAAGGCCATACCCTTCACTGATATCCCTACTAAATCTCCCGATGTGTCACCTATAAATTTTTGTGCTTTAGGACTTTTAAAAACTGCATTATCCAAACGTTGTCCCAAAACCCTAACAGGACTCTGGAAAGCTGTTCTGGAGGAATGGGATAGAATACCTCTTCTGCCACTTCAAAAGGCCTTATTATCCTGAAAATTGCGGTGTCGAAAGATAGTTCAGAATAAGGGATGTCAAATAGAACATTTAAAACACAAGAATTTTATGTAATTTAGTTCTGTGAATACAATATACATCGTCTAAAAAATGTGTGAACTGCCTCTATACTTAACCTCGTTGGTCCTCCTACTTTTAAGCCTGTACTTTACATTAATCTCATTTGGTGTGTATCTGGTGTTTATTTCTTGATACAACATGTCTAAAATGTTGATTCATATTTCATTAATATCCAAAACTATTAATTCATATTTCATATTTCATTAATAGCTAAAATGTTCATCAAACATATCTAAAATTTTGATGATAAAAGAATAACAAATATTTAAAGCGAAGTTTTTTTAAATTTTCTTTTTATTTCTGTAAAAAAAAAAAGAGGTACAAAACATCGTAGTTTGTAAATGGTACATGCACGTATTTACACTGAAATTATGAATGGCCGATGAAATTCAGTCATCATGCATTTTGTGATTTTTGACATATGACATTAAAAAGAACATTTTTGTAGTTGGATTACAATGCCCTTCAATCGTGTATTGATGTTCTTTGAACTGGAATGCTTGCGACTACTAATCACAAACGGCTAGTGGAAGATCACAGATAATTTAAAGGTTACCAAATACGGTGTCAAGAAGTTTTCCCAGCTGTGACTTGTTGTCTTCTCCCTTTGAGGGGGTACCAGAGGGTGGGAGAACGGCCTTACATTCTTGGCTTTGAGGTTCATATCGCTTGCACAGGGTCTCGGGGAGGTCAGAGATGATCATACTCATGATATTGCGAGTCATCTCTACAGCACCGTCACCGCAACGTCTGCCTGTCATGCCATCAATGCTTTCGTAAAATCGTCGGAAACCACTGTAAAAGGAAAATTGTTCTTTAAAGAAGAACCCTTAAAATAACTATTTCATTATAATAATATAAAACATTTGGAAAATTGTACCTCATTTGTAATTTTTTATGTGATCGCAGTTAATGTTTTCCTTCGGTTATTGTTATCGAATTTCCAAGCCCATTTATTTGTATGCGGAGACACAGAAAATAATCTTTTATTGTAATCAATGATTTGGTTAATTTTATTAATTTTATACAAGTGTTGCAGAATCACTTTTTAACCGAGCCGCCCAGACGGTATAGTGGTTAGGGGGGCCTGATTGCGATACCGAAGGGCGTAGATAAGGAGAGAGAAGACCGGAGAAGGTATGGATATAAAATATGAGGTAGCGGTTGCCACCAGGTGCCTCCACAATAAAATGGCCACCACTTCTGGTCTTAGTAGTACCCAATGCCGTTATAAGCAAGTGCCCGCCATTGGGGAAAAATAATAACCGAAGTAAAATAACTAAATATGGATAAGTCGCCAAATAAGATCGAAATATTTTACAAAAATTTGCAATGTGTCAGAAAAATGTCGCCAAGTAAGGAAATAATTCGCCAAAGAGCTTGCTTTTGATTTTAGTTAGCCATTTAAAATTGGAAGAAAACAACTTTAGTTTGGCGTACGTTTTGAATAACTATCGATTTTTAGATAGGCAGACACAAGTCCCTCTTCTTCAGCAGCAAAAAATATTATCGAGAATTTTTCTTAATGAAAAAATATCCCTTGAAAATATAATCCCTTGAATATATATATCCCTTGAAAAAAAACCTAAAGTAAAGTTGCTTTTTTGCATAATTTAAAATTTTACGTTTACATGTTCTTAGCCAATCAACGAGGGATGTCCTTCGAATATGAATATTAGGTGCATAGTATCGGCCAAATAATTTCCGAAACTGTTATGAACAGTTCAGAAACGGACTTTTGCGTTAAAACATTTTGAACATAAATCAAGTTTAGCATTTTCCTAATTTAAAATTCTGTGAAAATACTTATTTATATATTTTTTGTTGTGTTTACATTAAACTAGTTAAATTCCAATCCTATTTAGATGGATATTTTTCCTCGTCTTTTAATATTATCATTTGGTTATGCTATCAAAAGTGTCATGGGCGAAAGTAATTACATTAAGTTGTGTCTAGTGCGATAATATTTATTAAAATTGCCTTTTTCTTTTAATATTGAAATCACAATATATTCAAGACAATTATAGCCTATAATTATTTTTAAATTTTATTGCCACTTTATTAGAAATAATTTTTACCTATAACGCCTTTTACAATACACATAAAAATTATTACATACATATTTTTTCAACGTAGTAATTTCTGCCCTAATGACGTAATGAGCAAATGGATGCTTTCTTGTTTATTAATATTTATACACAAGAAAAATATGAGAATATTAATTAAATTTAAAGCATTTAAATCATCTTTACAAATAATTATTATCAATTTAACCGCAATCAATTCGCTGATTACAAGAACAAGATAATTTTTAATTAAGAAACAAGATAATTTTTGGTTACTAAAAATTATTTCAAAATGTTTTTGAAGTATTTGCATTAGTAGAATAGTACTGTTGAAGCAGATTCGCTATCATAAACATGGTAAGTGATTTTTTTTTATCTACTTTGTAAAATATTTTGAATTAAGTGATGTTTTTAAGAGAAAAGAATTTCTATTTTTAAAAAATGGTATTCAATGCTCTTTCCGACACATTTCTCGCTTCAATTCAATGAATTCTGGAAAAAAAATTTACAGTGTTTCACTTAAAATGTATTTTAATTAATGAAGTGAAAATAAATTTTATTCAGGTGTAAGCCCTGTTGTCTATTTTTAATGCTTTAAAAGGTAACATTTCAGGAATGTTCAGAAAAAAAAAATTAAGAATAAAGATATAATAAAAATCATTATTTCTTCCAAATTAGTTGAATTCCTCTGCATGTAGTGGATGTCAAACGCAGTTAAAATTAATAAATTTAGGAAACCGGCAAGATTTCTTTCAAACATATGTTAAACCTCAACTAGAAAGCGTGGATATTTATGGTAGCAAATAATCTACACAGGTTATTTATTAAAATAAATAAAAATGCTTCTTTTTTCCTTCTTATATGTATGTTAAACAATTGTTGAAAAATGAAAGTCTTCAAAAACCAATTAATACTGCAAAATGGCACTTAAAAGTGAACTTAAAAAGTAGGGAATGAAGTAATGGGTGAAATTATTCAGAAATAAAGAAATCTGATATAAACGTGTTATGAAGGTGAGTAACTAGTCGAGACTAAAAATTGTACTTTTTCCGAAAGGAGAAAAAAATAATTGCAATATTTATTCATAAACTATAAGGATTTATTAACCTTCAGAAATTTTACATTACTTTTTCTAATCATGTTAGCAATTAGTTACTCTCTGAAATTAATCTCCGACGTGAAGTGACGTCATTGTTGACTTAAATGCTGTATTATTCAAGATTGAAATTATCTACTCATTACAAATTTACAATATACGAGTATGTAATTAACTTGTTATTCTACGTTCTGTTTTGTTAGGACTAAGTTTATTGAGTACTTTGAGTTTTTGAAAAGTAATTAATTCTAGATACAAACAAAAATTTTATAAAATAATCGAAAGTTACAAAAATTTTACGAAATAATCTAAAGGCAGAATAATAAGTTATACATACCAGCACATTAGAGGGAATCTCTGCTTAAATTGGACATCAAAGAGGGTTTCAATGGCAACTTGGAGATCTCTCATGTGTGTTTTAAATTCATCACTTTCTGCTCCCTCAGCCAAGCATTCAGCGTGTTGCAAATAACCTTAAAAAGAAATAAAACTGTTAACAAGGCTTAGGGAAAAGAAACTTCTGTTTAAATTATAAAGTATGGGCATCTTATGCTGGTAAATAAGGTTTATTTGAAATAACCTCTTATTTACAGCGTTAAATCTTTCCTTCATATCTACTCTTTTTGTATACACTATCAAAATGCATAAATGAAATGAGTTTAAATAAGGGAAGAAAATTTATGCTTAAGAGAAGAAACTGGCAGAGAATCTCCTCAAATTCCTCCCTCAGGAAAACTCCTATCTACTCCTGCTTAAAGTAATATTGTTATAAGCTTTGAGTGCTTTGATTAAAATTATGTTAGCAGTCGTGAAATAACAGAGCCACGTTGTTCGGCTTCAAACGTACACTTTAGCTCAAATAATTTTAATTTATTTTGTCTTTCCGCTCCTCAAGACGCTTAATTCTGTAAATTGTTTAAAATCTGTGACTTCAAATTAAAGTTTAACACAGAACACTCAGCAGTAATTAAAATGTTTGTGTATTTTGATATTTTCTTAACGTTCTGTCATCGAAAACTAAACACAGCTGCTAAAGTAAAATAAGTAAAACAAGGAGAAACAAAGAAAAACCGTATACTTCTTCCGGCAATTGAAGAATATTAGACTAGAGTTTAGCATAACCGAATTCAGGTTAACCTTATAAGTTTTCTGTTTGGTTTTTTGGAATGTTAGATCTGGGTTGAATTTTTTAGATCAACACAAAATATTTAATTGACTAAAAATAAAATTCACTGTATGTCTATGATAAACGCTCTACTAACTGTTGCCGTTCTACTACATATAATACCCAGTATTCGCTGTAAACAATACACATGATATGTTTTCTCTGTCTTTAATAATTATATTTAAATAAAGATACGCACAATATTTAAATTAACTTTATAAATGGGAAATTTAACTTAACCTTTAGAAAACCAAAGCCTTCGCTAACCTGTATGCATAAAATGCCGAAATGCTCATTCCGTCTCGTTTGTTTATTCCCGTCCCCTTCCATTAACGCACAAAGAAGTGTGAAGATTTTAAATGACATCTTTTCTACTCCCTAACAAAGAAGCTTCCCTTAACCTTTTAGGACAAGTTGTCTGCAATAAACAGATACAATGCATTTGAGGTAATTGCATCCGCTACTGCATACCTTAGGAGGAAAAAAGAAAGCAATATTGCAAACTCGGCCTTTTCACGCAGTTGTGGTCTTTTGAATAAAGGCCGTCTCGGGCGTTTTGGCCTTCAGAAGATTAATTTTCCATGCTGTCAGCGGGCGCCAAAAAGCCCGAACTTTCAAATTCATTATTACAAAGGAAATATTTTTTAAGAATTTGAAAACCCGGATCTATTTTTAAGGGAAATGAAATATTTTTAAGAATTTGATTTATATATAACAATTTATTTACAAGCATTAGTGTAGAACTTCCTTCCCCCCGCGATAAAAGAGTCACCGCAAGAGAATAAGTCATATATAAATAGCCAAAAATGCATGTTTCGACATCGTACCGTTAAGGGGTGATAAAAATAATTCACTTCATTGTTAGCCCTTTATTTTGTAACCTGAGCCAAACTTTAAAATTTCAGTAAAATTGCAGCTTTGCTTGTTACTTGAGGAAGGAAGCTAGTTTATCGTATTTTATTTTTTATTTATTTATTTATTTTCCCAGAAAACTTCCTTTAAGATAACTACCAAAATTACCATTGTCCAGTTAAGAAAAGAATAAACATCCAGCTAAGTTTCAGAAATTTTCAAATAATTGTTTCCTAGATAAATACCAAAAGGAAATCGGTTAATCGAAATTATTCTTTAATTCAAGATTTGAAGGATAAAAATCCCTCTAGCTTTTGTGGAAACAGATTTCGATCTTTCTATGACGAATTATGCCTTAATTATCTAAAATAAAGGTATATTAATGTTGAAAGAACTCAAAATTACATTCATACTTGTCTGTTTTTCTGCGACATTTTTTTGTTAGTAAGATACCTGCATACAAAATATTTGATATAATTAATGTGCAATTTTAATTAAAATTCGAATAGATACTTTAATAATATGAAATAAAGTTTTTGAGCAGTAATTACTAGTAAGTTCCATAATAAAAAAAAAAAAACTTTTAATATTATATTTAAATTTTCTGATTGACATTTGCAATATTGTGTGCTTTACGTAGTAGATATTTTTTTTTTAGAGTAATTCGAATTCATAAGTACTTATCTGAACATTTGTTTATTGAATAAGAGCGTTTAGCTAACAAACGAAATGAAAGAGAATAAAATAAAAAAATGAATATAATACAAAACAATGAAAATTTGACATCACTCTTTTTTAAAATAAATACAAATTCACAGCACAGGAAAATTCAAAGATAAAGAAAAATAGCAGTTATGTTAACTTAACTAAATAACGCAAAGGTATTCAATGGCTATCTGCTTATGAGAAGGAATGCTTTGGAGGCCTTAAAGGAAACTGCCTCGTATCTACTGTTTCACAACATATGCGGAAAAGTATGGAGAGTCCAATGCAGCCAGCCCGTCAGCCAGAATTCAAACTCCCGTCGAACTACTAGTGTTTAGCGACTTTACCGCACGGCCATTGGTGGGAAAATCACGTCTTTGTCAGGAAGATTTTTCATTTATTTCTCAACTGCTGTGATGCTATCTAAATAACATAATTTAATTCCGTGTTCGGTTGAATCCATTGTTTGGACTCTATGCCAAAAATATTTTTACACAACAAGAACGACTAACTAAATATAAGTCAGTTCCAATGATTCCTATCGCATTGCTGGATAGAAGTTTAATTCAAGTTTCAAATGTTCTGCTGGAGTACTCGGCTTCGTTCAGACGGGTGTATAAATGCCATAAATGGTTTAAGATGAGCTTTATTGCTAGGTAACCAGCCCTTACTACGTCACAAAAATTGATTTAGGGGCTTTGGCATAAAGTTCGAAGTTTCCAGCTTTATGCAGACTTTGTACAAGAGTCGACCAGTCAGACGAAACACGCGAAACGTGAATGGGAAAACAGAGCGGGAAAGCTGCAGACGCAATCCACGCATGCGCAGATTCAGCTTCTCAATTATAGAAGCCGTAGCCTGCTGGCTACGGCTCATGTGTTTGTCTCGCAGGTGTGAACGGAACTCCTACATGTTATGCCTTTGTGACTAAGCCTCTATAACATTTATACCATCGTCTGAACGAAGGTTTAAGCAGATTGTCAAATTTATTACTATTATTTATTTATTTATTTATTTATTATTATTATTATTATTATTATTTTATTTTATTTTATTTATTTATTTATTTTTACTTACGGGCTCTGATTTCTGATCCAGGAGTGCACATTGACCTGGCGGGTGCATCACCATCGGAGAAAAGACCGAGGACTTCCCTCTGTAGGGGGGATAAGCACTTGGAAGAATAGTTACCCATACAGTCTTCCACTTCTTTCATTGTTCTGCAAGGCAAAATATAATGTGTTTATACCAAACACCATAGTGCACTTTCAAAAGAAAACTCAATTTTCATTTCTCAACTGCGGATCAATAAATTTCGAACAATTTTTTCGATACATTTCATCTTAAAATCTTATTAGGCTTTTAAACCTGTTTCATATCAAAGATAGAAAGATATACCATGTAAAATAAAGCGTGTATTTCTGTTTAACAGAAGCTCTTTTAGCAACTGAACACAGTGATCTTTTTCAACTGCAATTAACCATCAATTAATAGTATCCAATCCCAGACATCGTTTCAGGTAAATTATAATCTTCGTTAATTAATGCGGCTTTCTTGCATTCGTTGATTTTTATTTCTCTTTAACTGTCGTCGAATAAATCTTACTCGTCTTTTATCTGAGGTACTAAAACGCTTTTTAACAGAAAGTTGCTATATAATTAAGTTTTTATGTTAAACAGGTTAAAATGATAAAGTCCCAGACATTTTGCTAAATACTATCATATATTTTGTAAACCTTTCCGTTAAATTCTTGAATTTTTATTTAATTTTTCACTTTGGTAGATAAATGTTTGTAAAGAGATAATAAAAAAAAAAAAAAGCTTTTTCTAACATAAGGTTATTAAAGAGGAGAGGAATGACATTTAGTTATAGAAAATTTTACTGTTATTTTTATTTATTTATTACATTATACCTAATAAATGCGATCGTAGATGAAAGAAATGTATTCAGTTTTAACCTTCATTTGCTATCTAAATATGAATGACACAAAATAGTGAATAAATATTTCTAACGTGACAATTACACTTAACATTAGAATTATTTACTTACATAGAAATTTCATTAGAAACCTTGAATTGCATAATAAGGAAATTAATAGTACTATAATTTGTAGGAATATATGAGGAAAGAAGAAATTTAGCGACTTGGGTTTACTGCAATTTGTTACGTGTGCGGTTTAAAATTCCAGAACCAGTTTTTTATAGATTTAAGAAATATGAACATTATGACAGTTACTTTTCCTGTTAGGAAAAATCATTGATGGTTAAATAATGATTTAAAGATGATGCTAACTTTACTTTTAACAGTGTTGTTTGCATTGGAGTGGTTTCTAACAGTAAAAAATATTGATTTGTTTCCAATATAGATCTTAAAGTATCTGCCACAAAAATGCGTTTACCATCTTCTTCCTCTATTATTTTTTATATTTCTAATAAAATGTAGGCATTAAAAATAAATTATCTCAGTTATCTTATGTCTATTAGCCATTTTTCATTTAAAAAATTTCATGAAAGTGAAATAAAAATTTTCCAACAAATTATATTTTCTTCCAAAATATTATTTTCTTCCAAAATATTATTTTTATGCTTTTAAGTGTTCAAATTAAAATTTATATTAATTTTTCGATATTTGTTTCTTTAAGAAATAGGGTGAAATTGCGTAAATCGTACCCCTGAAAAATAGGTATCAATCGTACGATTTATGAAAAAATGAAAATTATTTGTGGTAATGATATCTTGTGCTGTCGTTGTTGATATTTATTGCAATAAAATCCCATACAGTCTTACGCTCTTCAGTAAAATTAATAAAAATATTCACACGAATTTAATACGACATAGACAAACAGTATTCTCAGTCGTACTACTTATATCTTAAGCCGTACTGAGTTTAAAATTGGATAATTATAATAAACCTTTCTTTTTTTCAATTAAATTATTTATAATACAATAAATTACAACAATGATCACGAAAATAATTTTTTAATTTTCTTGTCAGCTCCAGCGTACAAATTATTATGTACCCATTTTTTTCACTTTAAGCACCGAATCAAATTCTCTTCGCTGTCTTTATTACAAATATTACAGGGAAGAAGCAAACACGATATGAAACAATATAGAACAATATAGTTGGCGCGATATTACGGCTAATATTTAAAAGGTGCGTCTTGCGCGACTATACTTTAAGCGGTGGTATGACCTGCGTAATCTAAGCCTATCGCTCAAGCTTTTTGCTGTTCATTTAAACTTAAAATATGAAATAATCTAGAAGTCAAAAATGAGACTTTAAAAATTGTTTAATCACTAATTGAAAGCAAACCTTTCAACAGGAAGAAATCAAGAGAATCTGCAATTACCTTTATTTTAAGTTATGCTTTTTGTATGCTTATGAGGAATTACCTTTATCAGTAAGATATACGCTGAGAAGACATACGATAATTTCATTTCGAAGTAAGATATACTATAATTTCATAATAATTCGTTTATCCACTTCACGTGACTTTCAAGCCATCGATTTTGAAATCAGAAAAATAAAAGTATTTCATTATTTTATGCATTTAAAGTTGTTATTTTCTACGCGAGAAACTACCTTAAATAAGAAAGGAAGGTCAGGCGTTACTTACTCGCACCATTCATTGACTTTGTCCTCGTCAGCAGGGACACCATTGCTTTGGTAATGGAACATACCTATGGCCATGCATAGATCCACTTCTCGCATATGGCATGCTTGTGAATATGCTTGCTGGGCAGCTGGAAATAAAATTGCCTCATGTAATTCATGTAAGACATTGTATAAATCATTTGCATAGAGTATAATAATAGTAATCTAAGAACTAACTAAAGTTTCATAGGTTAAATCTGTGGCCACATTTCTTGATAAAATTGATAAAATAATTTCATACAAAAATTAAGAAGTTTAAAATTATTAATACTATAAATTTTTGTTATTTAACCGTTTGTGATATCTATTACAGTAGATCAGAGGTATTCTATATTTCACACTTTGTTTCTCATATTTTATTTTTAACTCCTTTTAGCATTTTCAATTAAACATGTTTGGGTAAAGTAAACTGATCGAAGATGACTAACTGTAACAAAATGCATTAATTACATTATACATTCATCAACGTTTAAAAGAAAGAATAAGTGTCATTCAATAAAACGAAGCATTATCTTTTGCGATATGAATATTAATTAATCGATAAGATTTAGATAACAAATAAAAAAAATTGAAAGCCTAAAAGGGCCCTTTTAAAATTTAATTTGGTTTATCGGCAGAGATAATGTATAAAGATGGCCCAGGTGGAATAGCGAAACATTTTATAGCATACTAGTTAAATATGCATTTAAGCTTAAAAAGAGAAAATTTATACATCTCCTGTATATTTGAAAAGGGGAAATATATATATATGTTGTTTCTAGACAAGTAGCTCATTTGAGCTTTTATTCTTTGTACTCATTTTTTTTTTTTTTTTTCTGTTAAAAATGGTAGTTTTTCTTTTCTTTACGAACTCACAATACATTTATCAAAAACCTAAAAGGCAAAAAGATTATCAGTTTTCTAACTTTATTGATTTATTCATTTAGTATTATTTAATGAACTGGACATTGCTTTCAAACTACAGAACTGGAGTAGGAATTTATTTGAAGCTGCGTATCTTAGGTTTCCCCAGTTTTACCTATATATATCAAATTTAACCTAATATATCAAAATTTTTACCCAAATATATTCTGATATATTTTCCCGATTTATTAAAAATTAATAGTAAGTTAATTTTTCTGCAGATGTAATGCAATTATTGTTATTTTATTAATAATTTAGGGATAAAAGTAAATAATTTTTGCAAAAGGAGTTTTTGAAAGGAATTTAAAAAGAATGTCAGAAATAATTTATCAATAATGCGTTACTCGTATAACACTAAAACTAGCATAATTTAATATAACCATTTTTCATTAATTTATTTAACGTTTAAGAGCTAATCAAAATTCATTGCATATCGGCATTTTTCTGTTCCAAGTTTGATTTTAATAATTAAAATTTAAAAAAAGGTATATATTAAATCATTACTGAAGGCAAGGTTCAGAGAGTTTTTAAGGGCTTTTGATTGCGGTATTATACTTGCTTAATTATTGCAGAATTATGAACTATTATACTGTTAAATTGTAAAAAACATTAGATTGCATCAATGTTAGGAAACTGAAAAAAAAAAAAAAAAAAAAAAAAAAAAATCCGCCAGGGTTTGAACTCCGGACCTCCTGCTTACGTGTTCAGCGGGCTTCCAGTCACACCGTGTAGGCGTGTGGAAAGGACGGAAAAAATACCTTACAAAGTTTCAAGCAAGGCAGCTCTCAAGGAATCAGATCTTATTTCTAAAACAAGGACCTACTATTAAAATTGTAAATCTATTAAGTGCTAAAAAATTATTAATTTTTAATACATTTATTATGTATCGCATTCATTTAGATTACACTCAGACTAAAACTGATTATAATCAAATAGCTCTTTTCATACACTAAGATTTATTTTAAGTAAAACGAGTATTTAAATCTAACTGCCTAAGAAAAGTACTCTACCTTAATTTTTAAGAATTGTATCGATATAGTTTAGTAGACGTAAAGATTAGTAAAAAAAGCAAATTTATAAAAAAATTATCAAAAATTCAGAACCATCGGAAGTTTGACTAAAAATTTATCAATTAATACAAGCCGGATAATTTTCTAGAAAAATAATCTATATTTCAAATAAAAATCTATCAATTTTGACTAATACTTAAGCCGCAAAATGTAATGCATTTATCTTTATTTTGAACCCCATCTAATTTGAAACTACAAAAATGTTTACTATTAGTAAGCATTGTTTCGAAGAAGTAAGAGATACTTACCAATTGCCAGCAGCAGTACTACAAGAAGAGATTTCATCTTTTGAGTAAGTTTTGAGGAACGTGAAACTCAGGAACGGTTAATTACAAAAGTGATTTCCTAAGCAGACATAAAATCTTTTATACCCACTGGAAGAGAAATTTTTTTTCGAAATTTTCTCAGCGTCACTTGAATTTCCAGAACTGGAAGCAAACAAAAAATGCAAAAACAACAGTGCAACGGACGTCAGCTAACCAACCGTTGGGCTGCGTCATGAGCTGATGTGATTCGTCTTTTGGAAATACGTACTTTCATTAGCTCCCCCGAACTCTTTTGGAAATAAAGAATGTGTGATGGATTCAAAGCCCCTCCCAGCTATTGCGCAAGTGGACAACCCGGCCGGCTGTTAGATAGATAGTAAGAGATAAGAAGAAAAAAAAGTTGCTGCCGCCCCGAGGCCTCGGACCTTGAGAAAGTCACAAAATGTGCATCAAGGGGTTGACCTTCTGAGCACTTCCAGCGCTTCAGATGTTGCTTAGTGGAAGCTTCCAGAATACTATCTTTCAAAGATTGCGGAAACTTCCCTTTCTATAGATCACTACTAAAATAGTTGTTTCAGCGGTATTGCAAAATAATGTTTGCCGTTTTATATTTTAAAGCTACTTCTTTTATAATGTACTTAATATTCTTCTGATTTTGCTTTATTTTGATAAATATGAAATGTAAAGTAGTCTAAGGAAATAATACAAAAGTGGTTATAAGAAAGAGAATTGCAAGAAAAGACATCCCGTCCTTTACCTAAACTGATAAAAAGTAAAAAAAAAAAAAAAAAAAAAAAAAAAAAAAAAAAAAAAAATTACGCAAAACGTGTTTTTGCGAAATCCCAGGAGTCATCTGAATTTGATGCTTGAAACAGAGCTAAGCATTTCGGATATTTCGTTAGAAACTAATTAAAAAGAAAAAATTTGCTTTCGATTCATACAGTACTTAATGACGGTTTCATCGAAAGATTTTTCATAAACATAACAGTTACGTCTATTTTTTATTAAACTGTCTTTTTGAACAAAGCGTCCCATTAATAATTAAATAAATTTTGACAGCGAAATGTGTGAATTTTGAGGCAACAGCTATTCAGTTAGTTTCACACTAATTAATACATAAATTCACTAAATTAGTATCGAATTTGAAAATTAGTTATCGGTGTTCATATATTTTAACAGCTCCTGTTTTAATGAAAACAGTAATTACTAAACATTTCTCTATAGCACAGAATATCCTCAATATGTTCTATTTAAGTTGCAACATCTCTGAACATACTAAGGATATCCTGAGTATATTGATTCTCAGATATCCTGAGGACATTGTAATTTCACGCCCTGGGGATGTTTTGTTTGATTCGCCATGTCCTGGGATACGCGAAGATGTTGATTCTCAGACGTCTTTAGGACTTCTCTTTCTGAGAATTTTTTTACTGCATTTTCCGCAGGACATCCCTTGCCAAACATTCTGAGTATGTTTATTTTCAGTTCTGGTACTTTTAGTATTTTCGAATTTGCACATTTAAAAGGCTGCACATTATTTAATTTTCATGCGCATTTTGTTTCATTAAGAGATATTTCTAAGTATTGTTCAACAAATAGCATTGATATCCAGGTTAGGTTGTTATTTTGTTATTAATTTTAACTTTAAATTTTCTGAAATTAAAAAAAAAATATTTAAAAATTAAAGCATTTTGAATGATTTAACTATTTATCGAATATTTATTAAATTCTAAATAACAAATATTTTGCACAAATAATTGTTTAAATTACTGATATAATTATTTACATATTACAAACATTATTTTAAGTACGGGTAAAATTTTAAAAGGTAAAACAGTCTTCACTTTTACGCCAAATGACAGAAGTTATTACACTGTTATTGTTACTGAATTACAATCGTGCGATAATTTCACAATAAAAAGAATTTTCTTTGGCGACTATTCACGGTTCCAGACATTTTGGTAGAGATGGTCGTTTTAGAGAAATAATTCTTAATATCGATATATAGATTTATTATAATTATAAGAGACAAAATTAAAATTTAATTTAAAATTTAATTAATTAATTTTCCATACATTGAGTAATTACAGTATATTATTCTGTGCTTCATTAAAGAAATTAATATTCTTTATTAATAATATCAAGAGAAAGTCCTAATTAAGCAGGTGCCATGTAATTAAGTGCCAAGTTCTTAAATGATTCTATGAAATTAATTTCTGAAGACTGCTAAAGAATTTGAAGGAAAAGGAATGCTTTTTCTTCCTTTTAAATAAAATTATTCAACAATAGTTATTAGGTATTCTCTCCCTCCTTGCCTTCATAGTGTAAGTTGTAGCACGTCCGGTTGGCAGTCAACAGGTTCGAAATCCGGAGAAGGCATGGCTCATTTTTCAAGTTCCCTACTGTGATGTACCTAATAACACCACATAGTTTGAACTGAAGTATTACAATTGTAGAATTAATAATGCATATATGGATAGCTTAATTAATTTTTTTATATTAGATTTTAGCCGGTATTTAATTAGTCTGCTAATATTTACCGCTAAGACAAATTTTAAAAGTTTTATTATGCAACTGCCTGCGCAAGTTTTTATATCTTGGCAGCATTTGAAAGGATCAAGACTTTTTCCCGAATTTCAGTGCAGTACTGCATGCTTCAATTGGCTATTCTGAGTGATCTCTGCTAAAATAGCTACCTTTAATACCTGATTGGGACAATTTGTACTTAAGTATGAAAAGCGGAGGATTCGATCTTGATAATGTGGTATTGGTAACGCAAGTGTTTCTAGATATTTAATATAACCGAATTCCGTTTTCTCATCCTTTTCCTTTGGTTTGGTTTGGTTTATGTGATAATGGCAAAACCTCGAGGGCTAGCTGACTAAGAGGAGGAATGTCTTCGTGGAGGAATTTCTAACGGAAATCGCTCTATACACGTTACACATGGCGAAAATCACAAACAAGCCCACGCCGCCAGCCCGTTCGCGAGATTTGAATTTCAGACCGAACTACCAGTGTTCAGCGACTTTACTACTCGGCCGCTTTCGTTCGGAGCAGGATGCCTTCATTCAAATGCGTTAATATTACTGGAGCTTGTAAATTGTCATTGAAAGAGTTTCGTTAAGTTGTTGCAGCTAGAGATTTGCTGCAAGGGGGGCTCCATTTGCCACCCACTCGATGCTCACCAAAAAATCGAATCTATAAAATGTCAAATCGATATATAGAGAAATAAATAAAATCTGCGTGTTAATGTTTTTTTATAAAATTTTGTCTTCAGCTTTTTAACCTCTTAATTTTACGCTTGTTCTTCTGTTAGCAAAATCGTCTAGAATAACATTCTAGACATTAGTTATAACATTCTAGAAGAAAGAATAAGAATAACATTCTAGAAGAAAGAATAAGAATAACATTCTAGAAGAAAGAATAACATTCTAGAAGGAAGAATAACATTCTAGAAGAAAGAATAAGAATAACATTCTAGAAGAAAGAATAAGAATACATTTTAAAAGAAAGAATAAGAATAACATTCTAGAAGAAAGAAGAAGAAGAAATAACATCAGAAGAAAGTTAAGAATACATTTAGAGAAAGATAAGAATCACTTCTAGAAGAAAGAAGAAGAAGAACATTCTAGAAGAAAGACTAAGAATAACATTCGAGAAGTTTGTTTCATTTCTCCAGTTTTTCTTTTGCAGACGGTATGGTATGTTTTAAATACAAGATATTTATTTTTCAAGTCCTTAGGTGCTTCTTAATCGCACTGTATTTAGATAAGATTGTTTCGCTACAGAAGTTGTGAGGAAAATTCGAAGTAGAATAAGAGTATGAGGAATTTCATTCTGGAAACCGTATTTTAGAACAAATTACAAAATTTCAAAACGACTACCTTACTTCCTCTCGATTTCGTATTCCCAAGCAGTAATAGAAATAAAACTTCGAAGGTTTTCTCTCTCAGTTAGGAACTCGGCATAGCAAGAAAGTGAAACTATTGAAGTTTCTTTCTAATTTCTTAAAATACTCTGCCCAATATAAAAGCAATTCTCTTTTCAATTTAATTTCGCATCACCCTGTCATATTTCGTGATTCTTCATCTCATCAATGACTGAGATGATAAGATAGTTGAATACCGGTAATTCAGTCTGGGATTAAATTTCAATCAACGATCTGGGTGGTTTATGTGGTTCGCCTTATGTTTAACGTAGAGCATGCATAGATTTTTTTATGTACGAATAACGTGAATACAAGTTAGTATCCTTTCGTAATATGAATACGAGGCAGTTCCTATATTTTAAGCAAGGAATTTTAGTCCCCTACGAAGACATTCCTCTCCTTAAACAGATAACCATGATGATCTTGACTATAATCGAATAACTCTCTACCAGTCTTTTCGATCCGAAGGTCCTAATGCCGCTTTAGCTGTACCCACGCTTCGACTTCATCCATAATCTTTTTTCTCTGTCTTTGTCTTGAGAATATTTTTGTTTCAAACATTATACAAAATATGACTAAATGAAGTAACTGATGGCTTTTTAGCCCAAAGAAGTATTTTGCCTAGAAGGACTATTAATTTCAATCTGCCATTTTTGCATCGTCACTTTAAAACGGCGTTTCACTTTTCCAATTGTTGCCACCAAATACTAGAACCCTGCATTATATTTAAAGAAATTAAATAATGAAGAATTGCATAAATGTATGTATGTTTCTCGCATTGTGGGAAAAAAAGGTAGCTAGAGACATCGAATTTTGAATAACGTAGTTCTCTACTCAAATATGGGCATCTGGAAGCTCAAATTTGGAATCTGGAATTTGTTTTATTGCATATTTGATATTTTTAAAGCTTTAACGAATTTTTGATTAACTAACTCGACGATTTCAAAGAGAGCAATAGCAACACTGTACGAAAAAAGAAAAGAAACATTTTTATCTCCAGCTCGCAAGACTGTTTATGAGAAATTGTAAAGATATGCTCTTTTTAAATATTTTGTGATATTGTTTTTGAATTGAATTTTATGGTTTAAGTGCAAAGAAGGTGATATTTAATAAATAAAAGTAGTACACAAAACATTAAAAAACGCCCCTTTGAGCGTAATATAAAATATGGAAGCTTCCAGACTTTTTTTTTATTTTAGTTCGTTATAAACCCA